GTCGGAAAGCACGGGAGATCACTTCGCCCACTGCCTCATCGCCTTTGAAAATGTCCACCGCAGTTGTGGACGAAACGTCAGGAATAAATTCCAATAGACCACGGCTTCAAAGCCCGGAAAACATTCCTAAATGTAATCTGACCGGCCGTGAAAGCCTTCATAGTTTAATAATTGTAATTTGAACCTAAATACACATTTTCGAAAAAGAATTTAGGTTGTTAGTAATTAACCAATAATGCGTAGCAAAATTGTCATATGAAAACGTTATTAGATTTTAAAAACTAACTTACTTACTTACACGTTTTGAGAACGCGAAGAAAACGATTTAATTTTTTTGCGGGCAAACTAGTGGTCTTAGGAAAAACACTAAGATAAAAAAAAGTAGGCAAATAATTTGTAGTACTTAAAATATATGCGGATAAAAGTCTAAATGCACACAAAAAAGTTCTGAACAAAATAAAAGTAGGGGTTCCACATTTCTACCCTGTATAAAAGTAAACTGAACCACAAAACAGTACCATAGAATGGCATATACCATGGAATGGATTATAATGCATACCAAAATTGAAGTTTATATGTTTAACCGCATCCAAAATCCATCAAAAAAGGTAAATAATACAGACAACAACTTAAAATTAAGTAAAGTATTTAAGGTTAGGCATAGAGCTTAGGGTAGGCACTTTTAATACTGAAAGCATTGAATTAGACATTCCAATAACTATAATTTCGTTAAAGAGATAAAGGTGTTGCAGTAAGTATTAAAATAGGGAGTAATTTTATTACTGCATGACAGTATTTGTAATTTCCAATAACTCTCAAATGTCGTCAACAACATATGCCACATATCAAAATGGTTTGATATACACCGTGACCCAAGCTACTGTCCCGGCATTAGATGTCACAACATTAATGTCAGCGTTTGAACGAGCTTTCACTCCTAGATGGAGCTAGCCGCTGTACTCTGAACCAGTTTGAAACAATACAACTTTTTTGTGCTTTACTATATTGAATTTCTTTTGATCACGCCCTATTCTCTGAGGTTTTCCATATAAAAACAACTGATGGTAAAAGGCGGTATCTCGCCGTGAGTTCGAGATATTTCACTTTGAAACTTTAAGTAATAATTTAGAGTTGCATTCTATTACAAATTAAGATAGTCCAAATTGTCATTTTACAAAAATTTAAATAACTTGAATTGATACAAAATATTAACAGAAATAAAACTTGAATTGACATTTTTTAATATCATTTTTGCAAAAGCACGTATGTTTTCTAGACCATATGAAGCAATAAAAAATGAAATTATTACTTTTGTAGCACGGACCTCATAGCACTCACCAGCTCGACTAAAAGCTTCAAAGTAAAAAAACTGTCGCCGAGGTACCGCCTTTTGCCACGAGTTTTTCCTCTAAAGAATAGGATGTGGGCAACAGAACTTAAGCATTGAGAAGCACATACATTTTTATTGTTTCAAATTGCTTCAGATAAATGCAGTTAGAGCTCTCTAAGGTCGGTATGTTTAGTCGATCTTTCACGATGCGCCAGCGTCTCGCCATTCACCAGAGGCAATTTTTGCAATTTAAATTGTTACATCACTACTTGTTTTGGTTGGGTCATTGTCTCGCTGATAACACAGTCACACAAAACATTTTTTCTTGATCTGGTGTTGAGACATATCCCATAGTATTTTGACCTGCTGAATCCAAATCCGCAGTCAGTTTCACTCTATCAGATCAGCATCAAGGTGATTTTAAGGTTAAATTGAGAAAGATCCATTTGGGCAGAAAAATCTAAACATATGTTTGTTGTTCAAAAGAAACGAAATGGACTGATTAGATTCAGTGCAGCTCATTCGGTTATCGAGATATTTGCAGTTTCTTAAAACACTATTTTCGAACTCATTTTCTTGAAAACCATGAGAGCTGGAGTTAGAAAAGCTACAGTTAGAAAGAACGACTTTTCGATGGGAAGCTTGTTCGAGACAAAAAATAAACTGTTTTAGCGAAAAAATGTTTTTTTTTTTAAGTATTCCTTGATAGGTGGTTAGATATGGAAAAGTTACATGGTAAATCGACTTTGGTCGGTTCAAAACAAAATTCGCAGGTAAGCTACAGGGGGAAGACGAAAAAGTTTGGACAGGCTATGATATTGTAACGGAATGGCCTGGGGTACTCACGTTTGAAATGGAGGGATCAAATTTCGTGGTATTTCAGTAAATGGGAGTCCCATTTACTGTCAAATATGACACTGATAAGCGGGAAGTTTCGCACCTGTTCTGGAGATTTCGAGAACCATCTGGGTTACCTGAAGGAATCTATATAAGCGGCGAGGAGAACAAGACAGGGGAGTGAAGTGACAGGCGCGACTGGGTGCAGAAGATGTTGAACACTGCGAGTCGGAAGAGCGAGTTTTTCGTCGGTTATTGTTCTTGTTTATGAAGTTGACGGTAATTTTGAAGTTAGTTTGTTCCTGTTCCGCATTTAAAGTTATACCGAGGTGAATAAAAGTTGGAAGCTGAAGAAAGAGTTTGATACTCGGCCATCCACGGTACAATATACATATTGTCGTGCAGGGAAAACCCAGTTACAGGGGAACCACATTCTGCCAATAAAAAAATAGCGTGCACAGCGGGAGCGCGCGTATAGTTTAGAGAAACCCCGTTCTGCTGATAAAAAAAACGTGCATAGCGGAGGAGCACGTATCGTGCAGGGGAACCCTCTTTTGCTGGTATAAATAAGCCTGCACAGTGAGAGTCGACAGTGGCAGTCCCGTTTTTCTCCAGATTACATTCTGAAGGATCAGGTTGTGTTTCTGGAGCGCGCTTTGGTTTATTTTAAGTGGRCAGAACCCGGATGATTCGAACTTGTAATTATAGACAAAAGTGAAGTAGCTTTTTGCCGTTTCGAGTGCGGATAGTTTTTTGTCTAAAAAATAAGAAACAATTCGCGATCACCGAACACCCCCATTTACTAGACTACTTAATGCCGCAACGACTGGAAACCCTTCTGGTGGGGACAACCTAGCGCCATGAGAAAAAAACAGAGAAAATACGGATCTTCTACGGATTTCAGCCGAACCTTGGTGGAAATAAGTAACCAAAGTGCGAGCCATTCTCCGGCATTATCGTTAGTGTCCTACCTATGGATCAAGGAGTAATACATTCGCTCAAATTTTCTCTCTATATTTTCTATATTTTCCATAAATCTCTTAGATGCAGTAAATTTCATTCATAGAGCTTGGCAAAAAGTTAGCCGAAAAACTGTTGCAAATTGTTTTAAGCATGGTGGATTTGTAAGAAACGAAAATTATTATGAACCAGACGATGAAATTCCACTCAACGAATGGTTATAAAAGCATAAAGACTCTGACTACGAGTATGACACAGATGAAGATTTGCTCAATGTTGTCGAAGAACAAGTTAAAACCAAATTGAGTGATTTCAATTTCTTCGAATATGTGAGCAGTGATAATGGCATTCTTACAAGAGAAATGTTGACCGATGAGCAAATTATAGACTCCGTAACCTCATCTACAGCTTTAAGCGATAACGAGAAAGATGACGATTTATGTGAAACTGATTCTACTGTAAACATTAATGCTGTTCCAACCATTTCTGAAATGACAAAAAAATGTCAAAAACTCGAAATTTTCTACAATCACGCCAAGTTCCTAATCATATCTGGTAGTAATTTTGTGATCGTGAAAACTACATAAATATCATCTATTTTTGCAGCAGAAATGTACAAACAAAAATTAGAGACTTTATGAAGTAGATTTCAAATTGAATTTTGTTTATCTTTTTGTGTTCTTTTTAGTCATACCTACTAATTTCTACTACTCTATGTAAAAATAACGAAATAAAATACACCACGTGTTTTTGTATTATTATTCGCTTATAGCGAACTCCGGATATAACGAACCAATTTTAGTTCATTTTTCAAAATTGGCGTAATTCCTTTTAAGGGGTAATAGGGGCTTAGGCTTTTTTCGATAATTTTAAGAATTTTTTTAAATGAAATAACAATAATTTGTCAAAAACAAGGGTTCCAAGAAGATAATGGACGACAATAGATGTTCTGGTTCGAGACACAGAGGAACAAGTATTGGACATAATTGCAGAAGAGCCTTTCAGGGGCACACAAAACATTGCACAACAATTGACAGTTTCCCAGGCACCAAATAAATAGCGGCTACATTCCTACCACGTATGTAAGATCACATTAAACTAATGGATTACTGAACACCCGTATAAATTGAGCAGGAGTTAATTAACCGAATACGAGAGAAGTACATAATAAGATTGTTTACACATTAGGTTGATTACACAGGCACTTGTTTAGAGCTATAGACTCAAATGTATGTTTTTGTACTTTGTAAACAAATTAATAATTCGAGGTCCTGAGTTTCGAAATAGGTTCCGTCATTCAACGATTCCTGTTGAATTTACCGTTTATCCTTGTCTATCTTATTGTCACTCTCTATTTATCCATTGTTACCGGAGTTTTAGATAATTACGAAGCAACAGTATAAAAATAACTAATTTTTCTGCGCTCCTAAAACACCGCCAGACAACACCTCCGAGGAATGACGCCAATTTTGAATGACCCTGTACGCTATGATCCTGACCTGATAAACTCAAACTGATCGGGGATTTGGATTCAGCACGTCAGTATCTCAACACCAGATAAAAAAAATGCACTGTGTGGCAGTGTATTTTATTATAAGAGAGTATAGAAAAAAATTAGAATTTAATCTCCCACATTTTTGACGTGATTACTCCTGGGGGTTCAAAGGACAATAGTAATGGGCTTTTATGTAGCAATTTTTGTTGTTTCACAGCGCATCCAAAAGTATCACCAAATGATGATTAAAAGGAAACTTTCTCATTCCTCTATGTGCCGTCTTATTAATTAATACGCGCAAACTTTGAAAACTAAAATAAAAGTTTCCTCTCAAAAAAAAAAACTACCAGCATGCAAAAACAAGTTTTAAAATCTCACCTGTCTTTCTTTTCCGTCCTTTCTTCTCATTTCGATAATTTCCATTTTGGGTTTTGTGTGGTTGGCCTTAAAATTGATGTACTTATTACTTTTTCATTATTAACATTGTCGCTAAACGTAACATTTCATTAGTTATGGATTATTTAGATTTACTGTTTATCCTTCTAAAACTTACACCCAATATTTGACATTGATGATAAAAATAGATGAGGTTTTATATCGATATGTCAGTAGTAATCAATTTAGCAATATTTTGGCATGTGAACTTTCAGAAAAGCTATTTAATTCTTATAATTTGAAACTTCTAGGAAAATATCTCCGTCAAATATTGAGCGCAACAAAAAATGGGGCATGCTTTGGGCATCATTAACTTGAAATATATTCATCACATTGCCCCTATGACGCTGCTTGAATTTTGTTTAATTTTCTTCATCTTCTTTCTTCTGCTTCCAACTTCGTGGTGGAATTGACGTGGTGGAATAAGTAACAAAAACAAACTTAAATTAACAACGATTTATATAGGAACGGCTCTAATAAATCCCCAGCCCCTAAAGGGGATTTTTTCGCGGTCTTCCCCGGCCTCTTTTTACACCTGGCGATTTGACTACAGTACTCGGATTACGGCCTCTCTTAGCTCTTGGCGGGGGTAGAACCGGCTCGGTTGCCTCAGTTGCAGAACTTTGTTCCACACATGGGGTCTGCTGCGGCGCAGTGTACTGCCCTTGAGAATCTTCAATTGTAATGACCAATTCATTATCGGAATGCTTATTTAATTTGTGAGAAATCTGTGCAAATCCGCTAATGAAGAAGTTAGTAATGTTGCCGTATTGGTCTGGACATTGGTCCGGGTACTTCTGATAAACCTGCGGTAAAGTTGGGTATTCTTTACGCGCCGCCGGCGTCCTGAATTTGGGATTATCTCTTTGAATTTCCGCAATTGACATCTGCCGTTCCGCCGGGTATGACTTCTGCAATTTTTGACTCTGCTCTGATTCTTCCATGTACTTGAGAGTTAGAAGTATGTTCAGTTCCTCTTCATCTGTTAGCTTACGCTTTTTTGGTGGCAGCGTCAGCTTAACCTCTTGCTCAGACTCCCTCTGAACTTGCAGCTCGTTTGAAGTTGCAGAAGCTGATCCGTGCAGCGAGTAATTTAAAGGAATTGCCGCAGGTTTGCAAGGAGTAAAGTTCATTACCAAACCGCTATCTTTCATTACTCCCAGAGAATCAAATCCCACCATCGCAAAGTCCTCCGAAGGACTGGGGATTTTAAAGCCGTCCTCTACAAGTATCGGGTTGCTAAAATACAAATAGGGATCAGCCCCTATATCATTTAAGTGACCACCTGAACTTTCATTAATAAAGCTTTGGGAGTAAACGTCTGCCTGCTGCATATCCTGTAAAGAAAAATACAGATTAAAACCTCGTACCTTCAACTTGACTTTTAGGATAAAACGGCAGGCTCTTGGTCAACACCTGCCGGTCTTTCTTATTTAGCTTATCGCCAAACACGCACAAAAACATGCCAGATTTTTGGCTCAATTGGCGTTCCTTCACTTCCATTTCCCGTGCCCGATGTTGAGCTCGAACTTGAGCTGGTTTCGGATGGGATTTGCTGGCCTTAGCGTTCGGGTTGTCTCTGCAGAGGTCAATCTAGGGATAAAACCAGTTGAAGCAATTTGTTCAATTTTCAATCCCACATTCACCCGCTAGAACAATATTTCTTGTGCAATTACAAAAATTGACCTACAAACTTGACAACCCATTCTACCTAAATAGGAAACTTCTAGATTATCATTGCCGAACGACTGCCACTGAAGCCCGATTACTGGCTGCCATATCGAAGTCCTGAAAACCGCATCAGGAAAAACGTTCTAGGCTATTCATACAAAATATACCTACGGAAAATTTCTATACCCAAGAAATCAAAAATAAATAACACATATCTCTTAAATAAACCTAGAAACATTTCGAGTAATATTTTGAAAAATCTAAGTCATTAAATCGAAATTTTCATGCATCATAAAAAATTGGAAGTGCTTTGAAAAATAAATGGATCAAGGATTTTGATCTCCCTTGACCTACAATGGCCAAGACATTAACTTCCGCAGTTTCTATTACATTTCAGTAAAACTTCCATAAGTACCTACTCAACACGGCGTATAATATTTTGCATGATTTCAAAGGCTCGCCCAGCATTGTCCCCATGTCGCGCTTTTCTTCATTTCAATGATGAATTTTTACAATAAAAGTAACTAAAATTTTTAAGTAACTTGAATTAAACTTCAATGTCAAACAATTGGAAGATGTGGTTACTATTTATCACGATGGACTCAATGCTGTGGTGTGTGTGTAGTGTTTCCTTCCATGGCGAACTTCGATCAACTAAATTGGATCAGCAAAAATTATTCACAGAAATTTTATTTTCGAAAAAAACCCAACGATATAAATATCCCTCAAATGATAATAAAATTCCTTATCTACTAAAGTCATATTCAAATAGGGTTGACACGTCAAGAAAAACAAGTTCATGTCATATGTCAACAATGACAGTTAATTTGAAAAATTGTTTAATGCCAATTTGACGTAAATAAGTTTTTTAATATATCTTGACAGCTGCCAAATTTTCCTGGCCGTGCCGACCGGGAGCTCGTCCTAGAACGGATTAGGCAAAAACCGAGGAGTCTCCATGAGAAAAATCGCGAGTGAAACTGGTACCAATCGGGAATCCATCTGCCAAATAGCCAGAGGATCTCCAACTCAGGCCCTACAAGCCGCAAAAAGTTCAGCTCCTCACCGACGAAAAGAAGAGCGTTTGGCTTGAAAGGTGCAAACGACTGCTTCGTCGCCACGCTCCCCTTCAATGGGACAAAATCCTCTTCAGGGACGAGAAGCTGTTCACCATTGAACAAGCCCCCAACCACCAGAACGATAGGAGCTGATCGAGCCCGGAACATCGGTCAAAATCCCACGGCCGTTATTTGTGCCAGCGACAAGACTCCCTTCGTTTTCGTAAAACAGGGGGTCAAAATCAACAAGGACGTCTACCACCATGACATCCTCGAAGCCGTGGTACTTCCGTGGGCCCAGCAGCACTTTGGCGATGCGAGTTGTGCGTTCCAACAGGACTCCGCTCCGGCCCACAAGGCGAAAGCGACTCAGGACTGGTGCCGGACCCATTTTCCGGATTTCATCTCATCGACGGAATGGCCGCCCTTCTCGCCAGATCTCAATCCGATGAACTACAGTGTGTGGTATTTTGGAGACCAGGTCATGTGCTACATGTGCTTTTGCTGAAAGACGTGCGTGGCGCGGCCAAAAATTTTCGGCAGCGTTTGGTGCTCTGCTGAAACGCGCAAGGAGGCCACTTCGAAACCGGCTGAGTAGGTTGTCAGTTGCAGTCAAAACCGTTGTTTATTGCTGTTTGTTGATAAATTTTGTTTCCATTGAAAACTAAACATTTTATGAAGTTTTTGCTAAAGGTCATATTTTTATTGTCACTCTGTATATGGATTGTAATCGATCATTTGAACTTGAATTAATTTAAAAACAAAAATGCACATGTTTTTATTTATGATTATTGGTCAGATAATATTCGAACGTGGTCGGAAAAAAATCAGGGGCATAATTTGATAGCATTTTGATTTTCTAACCTTGCACTTTTCACACTCTCTTATAATAGACCTGGAAAACCTGGGAAATGGCTTGACCTTTTTATTTAAACCACGCATAAATATCACTGTTTCTTTTGTTCAATTTGCGAAATGTTCCATTATTTCAAACCTTTTTTGCTAGTTTTCTTTACAAAAATGTAAAAAGTCAATAAAGTTACATCTATAAATATACTCACATATAGGAGGCGTCCATCTATTAGGGCATCAGAGAGCAGGGTGTTATCAATCTGTGTATCTGAAAAATTACAAAACATATCTATGTAATATCTATAGCCTCGAATCTCAAGAAGAAATTCCCAAGTGTGCACAGAAGGAAATTAAACAGATATAAGACAAACGGACTCTCCTTAAAAATAACCGTTATGTTTATACGGATTATTTTAACAATTTGAAACAATTTTTACAGAATATGAAGGCAATATCGAGACTCGAAACAGCTGAAGATATAAAATACCATCAAACATTAACATTAGGAACACATAAAAGAAAAAAAAATTAGGTTGAATACATGCGAACAGAAAATCATTGAAATTCTTGAAAACTGATTATACTAAAACTTACTTATAGCTTTGTGTTTCTTTGAGATGGACTCCAACTTTACGTCCTTTAGTTGACTAACAGGTTTTACGGACACAGAGTATGGCTGCTGACTGTCATCCCAACAAAAATCGGATATGATTTCGGAGCTATGACGCATGGGCTTTCCCACTGGCCCTTCCAGGCCGTTCTGGAATTCGTCTTCGCCAACGCTAAAGTGTACCTTTTTCTTCTCTTCTGATCTATACTTCAAAACACCTAAAAATATAGCCATTTATTATAGGTTTTACTAAATATTTTGAGAATAAAGCTATAATTCGCTTACTTTTCTTAGAAAATCCTACAGTTTTAGATCCGGGTCGATAACTGATGTCCCTATAACTATCTTCCGGGTTCACACCAGTATATGATTGTTCAGTTAGAGCAGATGTTCTAGGTACCACTTTGGCTTTTACACCGTCTAAAAACAAATATGTATAACTATCTAAGTTATTTTGGGTTAGTTTAAGTTAGTTCAAATTAGACAGTATGTTGAGTACAGGATGACCCGTTTCTGACACTTTCATAAGGTGTCTGCGTGATTGTTAGTTCTATCAAAATAGTTGTTATGTGCTCTTTTTTGATCGCACTTAAAAATGATGCACTTTTTACTCGCTAAGAGATAAAAAAACAGGGAAAATAAAATCAATCATATCAATATCAATTTCAAAATGACGTTATATTTTCTCGATAAAAAGATACAGAAATATGTAGTATATTATATACCTAGGACGAGAAGTTAGCAATCATATACTTTATACCCTGAGGCGCGTAGCACCGAATGATTTAATATGCGAGGTGGTGATAGTGCAAGTAATTTTGGAGATAATTCCTTAATTGACTATATTCCGAAAACTCTTAGTTTCCGATATACAGGATGTCAAAGTTTTAATTAAAAATGATATTTATAAATATTGCAGAAACCGCTTCAAATATTTCAATGACCTTTTACAGGCTTAGACACTTAACAACAATGCATGTTTTGTGATCAAAATTTTGTGTTAAGAAAGGGTGGCGTGCACACAGGCACGTCTGTAGATAATTTGAAATAAAAAATGTTACGCCACTCCGAAAATAGATAAAAGTTCTATGAAAAACTGCTGGGAAAGCGAAAAATCATTGAATCCTAAAGTGACAGTGATTTAGAAGTGGAAATACATGGGTGGAATCTCGCCTGAACTTAGGCAGGCGGACAAAATAAGAATAACGAAAAACGTACTCACATTTCATTATTTACCTAGGGACTTTTTTAATATTAGTATTGACCGAGGGAGAGAAATAAAACTTCTGACTAAGGAAATGAAGTAAATAATGGTGACATCTCATGCTAGTAGTAAAAAAAGTTTTGTGCAAAAGTTTCTTTATAATGATTATTGTATAACCTGCCATTTTCAGAATAAATAAACGGGGCCAAAAAAAGTTACATGACACAGTTATTTTTTTAATGCTGTTCCATTTAATAATTTAACTCTTCCTATTTTAATCTAAAAAGATATAATTTTGAATGATATTTTCAATATTACACCATGGGTGATTTATTTACCCTTTACTACGTTTTAAGTCAGATCATATTAAATTAATCGGTTTATATTAAGTGGGATAAAACGAAGAATTGACAAAAAAATTAATTTTGTACGCCATCCGGAAAGGCGGCAAGCATTTAAGCACACATTCAGCCGCCTGGAACGGAAATCAAAAACTGAGAATAAATAAAACAAGGAAAATGATGAAAAAAACATATTAGGATTTCACATTTGGGAATGTTTTCCGGGCTTTGAAGTCGTGGTCTATGGGAATTTCTTCCTGAAGTTTCGTCCACAACTGCGGTGGACATTATCGAAGGCGATGAAGCAGTGGGCGAAGTGATCTCCCGTGCTTTCCGACTGTCTTAGTCTTAGTCAGTCTTAGTCGGAAAGCACGGGAGATCGCTTCGCCCACTGCCTCATCGCCTTTGATAATGTCCACCGCAGTTGTGGACGAAACCTCAGGAAGAAATTCCTATAGACCACGGCTTCAAAGCCCGGAAAACATTCCTAAATGTGATTTAACCGGCCGTGAAAGCCTTCATAGTGTATTAGGATTTGTCGAGACATGTAATCAGATAATGACTCCTAGTAGCTCAACTTTATTGAAGTGAAACCTTACATAGGGGCGTTTTGCACATTTGGTGGGTTATTACTCTTTTATTTTGATCTTCGTCTTGAATTTCAGATTTGCGGATGTTAGATGGTAAAAGTGAAAATCGCATCTCCGTGTAGTTTTTACTGCTGGTTGTCTAAAGCACACACCCTAATTTAATTTTCCAAGTCTATATTGTTAATATTTTCCAATATTTGAACCGTAGAGCTGGTGTAAGATTGGAATTTTTGCATCGGGATTTTTTTAAATCAATCTCGCGAGAATCGTTTTTTTCACGAAAACAATTATTTGGTCAGATGAATGTCGGATTACAAGTTATGATTGAAAAAAGTGTTGTTAATTCTGAAACTTGTTAGGGAGCAAAGGTTAATCATAAGTTTTCCGTTGTTGAGTATGGGTCATTACCGATGCGGGCATTCCAATCTCCCAGTATAAATGGGTCAAAGAACTGAGTCAATGGTACTTTCTAGTACACTGAAAAACATTTCCTGTTCCTGTTTTGTCTTATTATCTTCTGGTGCATAGATAGATACTATATTTAGAGGATATGAATATCAGCTTAACCAGGATTATTCGTGATGATATGTATTGACGATAACGATAACTCCACTTGGTCGATATATTTTTCATGTAATACTACAGCCACACTTCCATAGCTCTCTCGCTCTTATCAATTCCGCTGTATATTGCAATATATTCTCCATGTGCTTTTTGACCCTGTCCTTTCTTCATTGCTACCTGCAGTGCGGCGATGTCTATTTTATGATTTTTCAGTTCTTGCACGATTTCTTGTTCCTTATTACTGAGTGTCTTTACATTTCAGGAGACAGCTCTCATAATGTTTTAGACGATGTTTGTCTAGATTCCTGTCTTTTGTAAATGTTGAAAAATGAAATTTATAAAAATCCATTTTAAAACGAGAACTTGATCCAAGAATTAATAAGGCTATTGCAGAAACATAACTCTCTTACTTCATGAATGGATTAAAATCCGTTCGGAAAAAGAGGTCAAGCGTGCATTGAAACAACGGGAGAGATTTCGAACATTCGCGATGACCAGTTATGTTATTCCTTCATCTGTAGTTCCTGTCTGATAGTTTTCTCAGACGTTTCGGTTTACAGTTTTTTTAATTTACTTTCCTGTGAGAGCAATTTTGCTACTCTTTGTCCGTTAAAATATATTGTGTAATATCTTTCCAGTTAGAGTATCAACTCAACAAGTTTAGTTTTTACTATATTAGCTTTCGTTTCATGACAAACTGTGGTTTAAAGTAATAGTGTACACCAATTTTATCCATGGTGTGTTATATTATTAAAAAACAATTTAAAATGCCATCTTTTTAAATTAAAATATGCAAGATGCACTAAAAAAATGAGCTTAGGACCGATAACTTTTTTTACCTGACTACTGATACTTATTCTGAAAACAGCAGATTATCCAAAAATAATGATAAAGAAACTTCTACATAAAACTCTTTTCTCTCTCTAACTGAGAAAATATAGTATACTCGTATAGTATATCTTCTGTAACTGAGAAAATATAGGGCCAATTTGAAATTGCCATTGCCAATATGTGATTTGTAGCTCTCTTCTCTAGCTCTAGATCTCTTAAGTCGACAAAATTTTTCAAATTTTGATTTCACTAGTTTGAATTTGACCTAAAAACGCACATGACACTTATACTACTTTCGTTATAGCAGTAACAATTCGGAAGATACCCCCCTATAGAAGTGCCGAAAATAGAACTTTCTGTACTATTAACTATCAACTTTTGTTTAATTGAAATTTGACCTTAAACCAGGATTTTGCTTTGCTGCATTCAACTTTAACGCCCATATGCCGTTAACATGCGTATGTAAATGACCCTTCAATAAATCGGAACAAATAGCACATTAATTTTTCGCAAAATCGAGTGAAATTTCGTCAAACACCCACCTTTGTGAGCATTTTGCTGTTGATCATATGTCCCTCCAGCCAGTTCTCCTCCATCTGATTCGGCCCTCGAAAAACTCTCATATACTTCACGACAGGTTCTGAACTTTTTGGAACCCAACTCTGTAACAAGTTAAAAAATATTGCAAATCTATTTGAACATATACAGGGTGGAACAACGAAAAGGTCGCACCCCTATTTATGACTATTCTTGCAGATTTAGAATCGAAAAAAAAAGAAATTAAAATTCGGAGGGACTCAAACGATACGATCACCAGAATACCTAGTAAATTGTGAAGGTGTACATAAAAGACAGAAATTTCCAAAGACCTACTCTGGCAGAAATTCTATGACTATAGAATGGTATACGGCGACTCAATAGCAGCACATATCTCCAAAATAGAAAGCTTTGAGTGAAAGTGCCATTTGTTCGAAGGTATTAAACAGCTTGCCTGAAAAGTTTAATGGTTACGCAACCAATGTAACGCGACAGTGTTACGCTACTGTGTTATGTTTGTCATGTCTGTACGCACCTTTAAAGTCAGTCAGTCACTGCAAAGTTATAAGATATTTGTAAAGAAATGAAATGCGTCCAGCATCAATCTGAATTGTTAATCAGAGCATTTAAAAGTAATATTTCACATTTCTCATATGTTAATTAAAAATGTGTATACATGGTGATTCAAAATTGGCGTCATTCCTTTTAAGGGACAATAGGCGCTCACTTGGACACTACGACAAAAATATTGAACTTTTTTTCGATAACATTTAGAAATGTTTTCCGGGCTTTGAAGCCGTGGTCTATCGGAATTTCTTCCTGACGTTTCGTC